TTACAAACTTTCTTCATGATTGGGTGAAATCATCGCCCTTTTTCAACTCTTATATTAGAATTCTTTTTCTAAGTCATGCATTCATCATATATTCCATCTCAATCAAACTCTTCAAGGTAATTTTTTTAAACCCTAACTTTTTTTTTTGAATTTAGGCTTAATTTTAGTTAGTTTTTCTTAAATTAACTAATGGGATTTTCTTACATTGCATTTTTACAGTAGAATCTACTATTTTTTTACTTGAATATGCAAAAATTTTCTATTTTTTAATTTGAAATTAAAAAAGATTCTTATATTCTATATCCACAATACATATATAATGCCATATCACATTATTTCCATATACATATATGTTTTTTTGTACACACTTTTCTTAAAAGTAATTTTTTAACCCCATTATTTTTACAATTTAGTTTATTTATTTAATGTCTTAAATTGTGGACTCATATTGAGTTTTGGGATTGATTGGTTGCACACATGTATATTGTTTTTCTTTGCAGGTTTCCCTTTATCCCGACCTTTAAAATATTTCATAAACATCCTCGGTCCTCCTATTCTCTAGCTAACTAACCTCTTAACCCTCCTCCAAATCCTAACCCCAATCCTAATGAGCTAACCATCTTGAATTCTAGCTTTAATGAACCTAATTGTCAAAACCTTTATTTAAGGTATACTAGTCATTTTGAGACTTATGTCCTTAGGGGTGAGCGTATTCCTTCCATTCTGGATATGAACGCCATTAAGTTTAAATATCTTCCCCTTCTTAAAGCATGGAAACTTGATAATACCTTCAAAATAAAACAAGTTATTTATCACCAACTCATCTGCATTTTCTATTCCAATGCAGTTTGTATACAAAATGAAGCACACACCCATACCAAAAGTATTCACTCATATCTTTTGGGGCGATACAACATTATTGATTCTGACACCATTGCCCATCCCATTGTTATTGATAACACCAGTATTGACAATGAGAAAGACTATGCCCATTCCACCTTAGAAGTAGGGAAAAATAATAGTGTCCTTGATTTTCATGAGAGATTCTTGCATTTAATTATCTCTTGGTGGTTACGACCATCCAAAGTTAAATACCCTTCTCTCCACATTGTTGACATTTGGTGGCTTCAATACTTTTAGCAAAAAAAAATGATTAACGTTGCTCAATTTGTTTTCAGTGAATTAGTTGACACCATTAACAATGTTCCTTCTAAGAGGGTCGAGTCTCTTGTTTATGGTTGTCTTCTAAGCCATTTCCTTTTCAAAGTCGATCTTCGAGTCGATCTTGATACTTTCATCCCCTTGACCACCTTAATTGATCTCAAATCTTTTTGTAAGTCAGGTTGGGAACATGTTGGAGACACATGGTAAAGGAAAGAAAAAGGGCCAAAAGGTAAGAGTTCCTCCAGAGCGGCTCAATTTCAACCCCAAGACGATGACGTGTTGCATGATGTTGATGATCTGGTGAATCATGTTCCTGACGAGCCTTCTAGAGCTGGTGGTGAGATGCCTCCTTACCTTCAGTCCATGATGGAGACGTTGGACTTGAGATTTGCTTCCATGGAGTCCCACTTTATTACCTTAGGAACTCAGGTGTCCAAGATAGCTTCTCAACAGTTGGCACTGCAAGTGATGCATGTAGATTCCCGATGTGACATCCTCTCTTGATTCGATATGGTGACAGATAGGCTCAATGCTTTCTCGAGACTTTGCTTCTTTTTGTGCACCACCTTTGGATCCTGATCATCCTCCACTATCGGATGCCTGATCGATTTTGCTTTGCTAAGTTGCTTTTGAGTTGTTCTTGCACTATCATACTTTGAATTTTATCATGGATGCTTTTATTACACTTTGATATTTTGGATTTGGTATTTCTTTTATGCTTTGGATAGTTTGTTGGGTTTTTATGCTTTATGGATGTTTATTGTATTTTTTTATAATATTTCAGATATTTTGAAACATGTTTACTTTTTTTACCATGCCTATTGCCTATGGATATTGATTATATTGACTAACTCGTTCGACACTTTTGGTCTTCACAGCCTTGTTATTTATTTTGTTTATTTTTTTAACTTTTTGATTTAACAAAAAGGGGAGAAATGTTACAGTAAGGGGAGTATTTTCAAGAAAATTTTCAAGAAAATCTTAAAATTTCTTAAAAATTTTGTTATATTAAAAAGGTGAAGATTATTGAACACACTTTGATATTTTGATATACAAAAAAAGTTAAATAGTTTTAACAAATTTTAAGATTATATTTGATTCTATCATTCGAATATATAAATTGTTTTTAAATTTAAAAACTATATTTTACTCCTCACTCTATTGAAAAATTAAGTCTTATACTTGAAATATTTTTTGAAATAAATTTTACTAAGGGTTTCGATCATCAGTTGAGTCAAAAATTCATTTTTAGTTGTACCGATACTACAAGAATAGTATCGATACAACTATCGATGCTGAAGCCCAAAATTATGCAGTAGTACTGATACTACTAATGTAGTACCAATATTTTTTTGTAGATTTGTCAAAACAGAATGTTATTTTGGTACCGATAATATTCCAGTACTGATACTACTTTTCATAGTAGTATCGATACTCCACATGGTATTACAGATACTACCCTTTTGTTTTTAAAATTTTTAAATTCCAGTATACTCATTTGGTACCGATACTAGTCCCAGTATTGATACTACTTATTATAGTAGTACTATATCCCTTGTACTAGTATTGACACTACATTTCCTCAATGACTATATTTTGTATTTAAAACAGGGAGTATCGATACTCAAAGCCCGAGTATCAATACTACAAGCTTCTGGACAACATTTCCCCCAACAACCCAAACAGTTAGAATTGATAGAGGGAGTATAAAAATAAGATTCCAAGTCATATGTGAAAACAAGAGATCAAAGAGAAATCCAAAAGCAAAAAAATTGAGCCAAAATTAAGTCAACATTCCTTTTGCTTTCAAAGAACACTTTTTGTACTCATTTGTATTTATTTCTCAAGTGTTCTTATTTGTTCTTGAATTGTGCAAACACATTCTTAGTGAGGATTTTATAAGTTTACAATTTGTAATTTTCTCTTTGAGAGAGTGTCTCAAGAATTTGGGGTATAATTCTTGAGGGAGTTGTAAGGTTATACCTTATCCTTAAAGGTAGCTACAAATTAGTGAATTTATGAAAATCCTTAGTGTGGATAACTAAGGTAGTGGATGTAGACTTTGGTTTATAAAGTCGAACCACTCTAAATTCTTGTGTTTATTTATTTATTTTATATTTTCTCTTCAAGCTTCCACCAAAAAAATATTTGCCAATTTACCCCTTCTTGGCTATTTCATCCATTCGATTAACTCAACAACATGTAGAGTTATGTGTTTTATATGGTTCATATTAATTGATGGATTCCTCCATTAAGATTTTGATTGAGAAACAAGTATGAGCCTAAGCGTTCAAAAAAAAGCTTGTAACCCTTAGTCCCGAGCATTAATATAAGGAATAAGACTCTTTATTCTCACGCTTACACTTTTAAGTATAAAACTAATTCCCAGGATTACACTTGTAAGTATCAACCTAAGACAGTCCTAGGGATGCACATAGGTTGGGTATGATTTTTATTGCACCTGACCCCGACCCCGACCCGAATATAAGGCACCCCTACCAGAACCTAGTAATAATCCCCTTGTTATCACATTGTGACCAATTTAAGAGGAATAGAGTTCGATAGACAAACAAGGAAAAAAGTGAAGTGAAGAGTTTCACATAATTCTGCATATGGATACATGATATAATTGATATGCAAATTTTATGTGTAGAATTTTGTCTTTTATATGGTTCAAACCAGTTGATGGATTCCTCCATCTTTCCACATCAATTGCGCCACCATATAAGAGGTTTATATTTCGATGGAGAAATAGGTATGAGCCTAAGTGTTCAAATAAAAGATCATGACCCTTAGTCCCGAGCTTTAGTATAAGAAAGAAAACTCTTGATTCACATGCTTAAAGTTTTAAGTATCAACCTAATTCCCAATATTACATTTGTAAGTATCAACCTAATATATCCCTGGAGATACACATGGGTTGGGTCTGATTGTTACCCACGTGACCCCGATCCGAATATAAGGTACCCTATCGGAACCCGCTAAGTATCCCTTTATTGTCACATCGTGACTAATTTGAGAGGAATAGAGTTCAGTGGAGAAACAAAGAAAAAAGTGAAGTGAAGATTTATGCATAATTCTACTTGTATAAAAATGTATATGTTTGAAATGCTTAATTGCACCATGATTAAATAACTCTATAAACCCTTTATTTCATCAAATTAGAAGCAAACATAACCTAAAATGAGAATAAGTTGGGACTGGAGTCCAAGGACAATGAATCAACGACAGAGCAATGATAGAGGCGAGGGGTTGATCCATAGAAATGAAATGGTTGGGGACAAATGAAGGTGATGGGCGGTTGAGTGTATGAGAAGCCTTGAAGGAAAAAACCTTTAATGAAAAGTCTTTAGACTTTAATGATGAAGAAGAAGAAATAAATAATTGAAAAGACTCGAGGGAGGAGATGTATGAGAAGCAAAAGAAATAAAGTGAAATTGAATTGAATAAAGGAGAAGGCAAAATCAAATAAAGGTGGTATAAAAATCACTCTAATGTTAGTAAATGACCACACTTTAATCAATAGCAATGTCCCACTTGTCAAGATTTTAGATTGAAAAATAAGGTGAAATGAAGGGTTTATTTTGAAAAATAAATTCAAAATATTTTATGAAAAACGATACTTTAGTTAAAAAATGTGCTAAAAATAAATTTAAAATTTATTCTCATAAGGGCGCAACATAAAATATGAACCTCAGAATCAAAAATTTTAAATCATTTAATAAATAATATAATTTCAACCTTAAATATGATTCCATGAATCGAAATTATTTATAGCATTTGAAAATAAATCCAGGTGCTACTATCTTTTTAAAAATAAGGGTAAACTACCTGAATAAGGTCTCCACCTAATTTTGACAGCTTCTCCTCAATTTCTTCTTTCTCGTCGTCTCAAGTTAAGCTCGATAAAACTTTTGCTAGTTGCCACTTTCAAATCCTTTCTTTCTCTCGATGGAGTTGGTGATAGGTAAGCTCTTCCAAAAATTCTCTTAATTATTTTTGGCCAAATTTTTGTTCTTTAAACTTGACATTTATGTCTAAAACTTTTAATTCTGGTATTTTATTAGAGCCCAAAATTTGTGTGAAGTCGAGATAACCCAAATCTTATATATGTAATTTTCAACTTGACATAATAACATTTATGACTGAAACTTTTAGTTTTGGTATTTTATTAGAGCCAAACTGACAAGAGTTTGACATATATGTCGGTTAGATGTTTGATAGAATGCCTAAAACAAAAACATGAATAGGATGATGTTGATTAAATTGATTCAACTAATTCGATTTTTTCTTCAAAAATTCAAATTTTTACCAATTCGATTTTTAATCCATCTACATTTAAATTTCATTATTGTATTTTGGAAAATGAAAGTTGATAAAAATGAAATTGTATTGTATCTTTTAATCTAGATTAAACTTATTAAAATTTTGGTAGTTGAATCTTTTCTTTAATTTTATAAGTAGACATATTTGATTGCAAGTTCTAGCTTTCCAAGTGTTAAATTCCATTCAATTGATGCATGATCTTTGAACTCAATTGATTTGTTTATGAATTTTATTGTTTTATACTAAATATTATGGTTTGTTTATAGATTTTATTGTTTTAGACTTAATATTATGGATTGTTTATGGATTTTATTGTTCTAGAGTTAATATTGTTATTTACTTATGAATTTTATTTTCTAATTTTCTATTAAGTATTATCTTTATTTATGATTTTTTTTACATCTATTTATAATTTAAAACTTTTTTTATAGATCGTACACTTGCCCTTCATATGGATTCCCAAATTCCTTTTTCTCGTGACTTTCTTGAATTCTCAATTTCCTCTTCCTCGTGACTTTCTTCTTCTCCTCCTCCGATTGTAACAATACTTGCCCCAAGAAACAATCCTTGTCCCCAAGGATCAAACTAGGAAACTGCATATGAAGGATGAAGTAATCCTCCCAAGTGTCATGTGATTCATCAAGATTTATCCATCGCACAAGTAACTAAGTCAAAGGTCGATTCTATCTGTTGACTACTCTTTTTCCCAAAATTGCCTCAGGAAAAATCTTCAATTGACCATTCATTTCTATTGTAGGTGGAGTTGTGGAGTCACCAATACACTTCTTCAATAAGCTCACATGTAAAACGGGATGTATTCGAGAAGTTTCAGGTAAATCGAGGCGATATGCAACTTTTCCAATTCTCTCCAAAATTTTATGTCATATAACTTAGCTGCTAACTTCAAAATACTTCAAAGGACCATAGAAGTTTGTCTATAGGGTTGCAGCATTAGGTACACTTCCTCTCCCAGTTTGAATTCTCGTTCTGTCGTTTTCTTGTCTGCATGTTGTTTCATCCAGTTTTGTGTTGCCTGCAATTCGTTTTTGATTATATCCTCAATTGTTCACGCTTCCCAATAGTTCATTGGCACTGTTCACATTTGTCTATGTTTGCCATGTCAACAACGGGGTTTATAACCATAAAGGGCTTCCAACGGTGTCAATTGAAGAGTTGTATGATAAGTGGTATTGTACCACCACTCTGCATGAGATAACCACATAGCTCATAGGGTAGGTTTGAAAAAATAGAACCCCTTAGGTACTGTTCTAGGCATTGGTTTACCCTTTCAGTTTAACCATCTTTCAGTTTGACCATCAAAAAATAAACTTGGTTTAGAGACATTCTCCACGTTGATTTGTTGACAAACATCACACCTCTGAACATAAACAACCATCTTCTTGAGCCCCGACCAGTAAAAATAAGAATGAATTCTTTGGTAGGTTGCTTGAATCCCAAAATGGCCCCCTTAGGAGAGTCATAGAAAGCCTGAACTATCTGAATTCTCAAATTGCCTTTACTGCCAACATAAACCATTGTTTTATATCTTAAAACAATAATTGCAAACTTCCAGTCATTATTAGAAGATGGTTGCACAGTCAATTTCCTTATCATTTCTGAAGCAAAATCAACATCTTTATAAGTGCTTTCCACTTCATCAACCCAAGTAAGAATATTTGTACTAATGCCCATCTAAAAAAATTACTCCCTACTCTTCAAATTGCCTTGATAGGACATCTACACAATATGATGAGGCCCCTCTTTTGTAATCCAACACTAGCAATTTGGTGAGGCCCCTCTTTTGAGAGGTGGTAGTCAGTTTCTGCTACAAGAGGTATTTGAGAGGTTATGGTCTGTTTTAATTATAAAAGGCCCTCTTTCCAAATAATATGTCTATTTGGATACAACCAATAGTGTTGTTAAATACTCCCTCTCATAGATAGAAAAATTAGCATGTTTAGGACTTAGAGCTTTACTCAAATAGGTTATGGGTTTTCCTTCTTGAGACATAACATCCTCAGTTATTGAATAGCTAGCATCAATTTCTAAATAGAAGCATTTAGAGAAATTATGCAAGGCTAAAACTGGGCATTGCACATGGCTAACTTCAGAGTTTCAAAAGCCTCCAACGTTGTAGGTGACCAAATAAAACAGTCATTTTTCAACATTTGAGTTAAAGATTTGCTTATCTCACCATAACTCTTTATGAAACGTCTATAATATCCAGTCAATCCCAAGAAATCTCTGAGATTTTAAACTCTAAGGTATAGGCTAGTTTTGCATTGCATCAACCTTAGATGGATAAGTGGAAACCCCTTTTTAAAAAAATTACATGCCCCAAATACTCCATATGAGATTGATCAAAGAAACACTTGGTCTTTTTGGCAAATAGCTTGTTGTCTTGAACTGTTTGCAAAACTAGTTGCAAGTGGTGTACATTTTCTGCTATAGTTTTACTACACACCAAATTGTCATAAAAATGACAAATTTCTTAAGATAAGAATGGAATAGTGCATTCATGAGAGACTGGAATGTAACTGGAGCACTAGTAAGGCCAAATGACATTAATTTAAATTCAAAATGGCCATGATAAGTTCTGAATGCAGTCTTGTAGATATCCTTTTCTTTGATTCTGATTTACCAATAACCCGAACGCACATCTATCCTAGAGAAATAGATGCCCCATATAGTTCATCTAACAGATCTTCAACCATAAGTATAGGTGTCAAAACCGTATTTCGGTTGGGCCCTGAATTGGGCTTCGACTTGGATTAAATGAATTGGAGCCGCCACCGACCATTAAAAACGAATTTAGGTAGGTTGTACACCATCTTACATGATCTGCGTTATACCAGAAACATGTCAGGTTCAGGAGTCAGTTACGGTCAAGGAAGGATTAGCACCCTTGAACCGCCCTTTCGGTACCAATTAATTCATCGGTTGTCTTAATCGCGAAAATCAAAATTTAAAATTCAATTCGAATTAATTATCTTTGATCGATTGAAAGTATCCCTAAAAAGTCAAAAGTGTTGTATTGTAAAAATGAAAATAAACATGAGAAAAGAATAATAAAAAATATTAATATAATAATATTAATAAAAATGAATATATATATATATATATAAACAATGTAAAAAGAAATAAAAAATATTAAAATTAGGAGAAAATGAAAAATATATATATAAATAAAGAATAAAATAAAAAGAATAAGTCAAAAGTTGTTACATCTCCCATGTTTTACGTGTAGAGAAACTGGATTTGAAATGAAAATGCACTGCCACTCATCGTGCTTTTAGATACTGGCTTTGGATCCTCCACGCTTTTTTTTTTCTTTTTCTTCCCTCAGTTTTTCCAAATCGTTGCCCCTTTCTCTGATTTTGGTTTCACGTTTTTCTCTGTGTCTTTTCTCTTGATGGTTGAGTCTATTTATAGTCTAAAGAAACATATTTTTAGCTCAGATTTAGAGTCCTACTTGGACTCAAAATGCTTCGGTTTTAGTGTTTCAATAGGACTCAAATTCGTTGGTTTATTTTTTGAATCTTACTAAATCGGGGTTGAGTGCGGGGCCTGCAAAAATAAAAAAATAAAAATATATATTAATAATAATAAATATATATATATATAATATAATAAAATATTTTTGTAGACCCGAACAAAAACGGGTGTCTACAACTGCCCCTCTTTGCGCATTTTTGTGTTAACAAGAATAGGGCAAAGATGAAAAATACAACCAGTTTTTGTCTGGTTCTCTTTGATTTGAGACTTGATAGTATTTGTTGTGACACCAAGTCGATCCATTGGGCACGATATCATTCTTCTTGAAGTTGAAATCGTGGGTGAATCGGAAAGTGACTCTTTGTTGCTAATCTTGGTCAACCTTGGTCTTCTTCTCGATTTAAAGACCTGAGTGTTCTTCTCGATTTAAAAATCTTGGTCAACCTTAGTTCATCATTACTGAAATTTTTTTGCTTAGATAAATTTGATTTAATTTGCCGTTATCTGACTAGCTGAATCCATAAAGCAGGGGCGTTTAACCAATTGCTTTAGAGGGACAACTTAACATTATAATCAGTTTTATCAAGTTAACTGAAGGGTTCATCTCATCACAAAGTCTTCGGTCGGACAATAGCAGTGGAGTAAACAACGAATTGTCAAGTGTTCGAGCAATGTAATGGTTTAAACGTAATCTACTCATAAAGCCAAGGCTTTCAAGTTTCCTCTATAACCAATTCTTAGTGGAATAGCTCAACTTTACGGATTTAATTTCTTAAGTTTGTCAAGAAGAACCTGTTATAGTCTAGGTGTTGTTGAAAGTCAAGGAATCTCATTTTTAGAGTTCAATTTCCAAACAACTGACCTAAACTAGATTTGATTACTCGACTATTCCATCTGTAAAGATCATCATCATCACTGAACGTCTTAAAAAAAAGTATAGTAATGTCACATGCAAAAGGATGCCCCATGTTGTCGCACCTTATGAAAGAAAAGGTTATATTGGTTTATTGCAAGAGTAGGGTACGGTGTTTGAGTGCATATTCTGGGTAAAGTCAAATTCCTTGTTTTAAATCATGTTACTTCGTCAAAGATTTGTAACTTTGAACTATTTACAGAGTTTCTTAATTCAGATGATATTCAAAGAATTGCAAGTTTGCAAATGTGATTCATTGCTTAACGTCTTTAAAGTGACATAAATTTATTTAAAAGTCCTTACAAAAACTTGAGAAAAAAATGAAAAACAAATTCAAACAGAATGCCTCAAATGAGAAAATGATCTTCCTCACTTGGATGGCCCCAAGTTGTTGAAGTCGATCCAGTTCTGGTTACGCATCTTCTGCACGACTCTCTTGAATGCGTAACAATTCTTAATTGTGTGCCCTGAGACACCGCCGTGATATTCACAATGAGCATTCTCGTCATACCACTTGGGGTATGGGGACTTCATGGTTTCCACCAGGTATGGTGACACTACATGGGTGTCAAGAAGTTGCTGGTAAAGCTCTTTGTAGGTCTTGGGAATAGAATCAAAATGTTCACATTTTTTATGAGACATGTGAATGTAATAAAAAAGAAAAATAATGCGAAATATGCAAGAATGCATGATGCATGCAATGTTCGAGACATTGATCAAAAAATGTGTCTGTTATTAGAAATAATCCTTATTGGGGACAAAAGTATTTTATCTTTTAAGAGATAAAAATATCCTGACAGTTTTTGACATGTTGACTAGTCTTTTGCCTTCGTCTGTCACCGGTTGAATAACCTGTCGAACCGCTCTGGCTTCCTGGATGAACCGTGCAAATGTTGAGTTACTTTTTTTACTGGCCTAAGTAGTCTCGAATTACTGCATCTCTGGCATTTATCTTTTGTTGAACTTGTTCCCAACGAATACATCATTGGAGCCCTCAATTGATAGGAACTATGTGAAGTTCATTTGTCTGTTTCTTGAATTCGTCAGCAAGGGTCTCCAATTTCAGCTATCATTTTGCCATTGTTGTCTTTGAAAGGACTCCCTTCATCTTGCCCCTGCAACCTCTGTCAGTCAGTTCTTCAAAGATAGACTTTCATTGTGCTTGATGTAGACCCGGTTCATTCTGAGTCCTTTATAATGCAGCAGAGTGATACACTCTTCAATTGTGGGTACCACGTCTTCTGGATTGAATGCGACACATAGTCGTCTTGTAGACTGTCCTCTGTATTTTCATCTCTTATATTACAACCCCTTTGTCCATTAATACATGTTATTCATGTTTAACAAACACATTTTTTGTGGATCAACTCCACTTTTAAATGATGCAAGTGATGAAAATAAAATAAAAATGAAAAGAGTTAGTGAGATGAAAATAATAAAAAATAATCATGAAAAATAAAAGTCCTACCCCACATGATGTTTACCCCACATGCTTTAATTCCTACCCGGACATGATCTCTATCCCACATGCTTATTTCAAACAAATCCTAACCGCATATTTGTCTAGTTCGCATGCTTTAAACAGAAAGTAAGGCATGAAACAAAGCAGCCTAGAGTTTAGAATGAGGTTTTAGGGTGAACTCTAATTCCCTATACTCTCCCGGTTTAGGTTCTAAAAAAGGTACTCGAGTTCTTCTTGCTGGTGCCCCCTTGGGCTTGCCAGACCCTTAGTCCTAAGCCCATATCAAGCTTATGTGGACTAAGTTAAACTCGAGAGGATACATTCCCTTATGTCCATACGGAGAATAAATTCCCACGAAGGCATCGCTTTCGCCCCCACTTAAAAGGGTTCGGAGCTCGGGTATAGAGCTAGAGATAACAATTTTGAAAAATATATGAAATCATTAAAAAACGTTAGTACAAATATTTATTTGAAAAAATAATCAAAGATAAATAATAAGAATCGAATAAATAAATTAAAATTTAAACTTGTAATTTTCACTAAAAAAGACAACCGGAAATTAATTTCGGCCTGACTCACTTACCTGTCCCCAGCAGAGTCGCCAAGCTGTCGGAGCCGTCTATCGGTTGGGCCCCGAATTGGGCTTCGACTTGGATTAAATGAATTGGAGTCTCCACCGACCATTAAAAATGAATTTAGGTAGGTCAGACACCATCTTATCTGATCTACGTTATACTAGAAACGTGTCGGGTTCGGGAGTCGGTTACGGTCAAGGAAGGATTAGCACCCTTGAACAGCCCTTTCGGTACCAATTAATTTACCGATTGTCTTTAATTGCGAAAATTCAAATTTAAATTTAAATTTAAAAATTCAATTTGAATTAATTATCTTTGATCGATTGAAAGTATCCCTAAAAAGTCAAAAGTGTTGGATTGTAAAAATAAAAATAAACATGAGAAAAGAATAATAAAAAATATTAATATAATAATATTAATAAAAAATGAAATATATATATATATAACAATGTAAAAAAGAAATAAAAAATATTAAAATTAGGAGAAAATGAAAAAAATATATAAAGTAAATAAATAAAAAATGAAATAAAAAGAATAAGTCAAAATTTATTACATCTCCCATCTTTTGCATGTAGAGAAACTGGATTTGCAATGAAAATGCCCTGCCACTCCTCGTGCTTTTAGATACTGGCTTTGGATCCTCCACGCTTATTGTTTTTTCATTTTCTTCTCTCAGTTTTTTCAAATCGTTGCCCCTTCTTCTGATTTTGGTTCCACGTTTTTCTCTGTGTCTTTCCTCTTGATGGTTAAGTCTATTTATAGTCTAAAGAAACCTATTTTTAGCTCAGATTTAGAGTCCTACTTGGACTCAAAATACTTCGGTTTTAGTGTTTCAATAGGACTCAAATACGTTGGTTTATTTTTTGAATCTCACTAAATCGAGGTTGAGTGTGGGGCATGCAAAAATAAAAAAAATAAAAAATATATTAATAATAATAAAAATAAATAAATATATATATAATATAATAAAATGTTTTTGTAGACCCGGACAAAAATGAGTGTCTACAATAGGAAATTTGTTTTTCATGGTTTTGTTGTTAAGCTCTCTATAATCCACACAAAAATGCCAAGAACCATCCTTTTATTTACTAGCAAGCATGGTGGAGAAAAAGGGTTTTTGCTTGGCTGAATAATTGAAGAAGAAAGCATAATAGCAATATATTTCTCCACTTCTATCTTCTGGTGATAAGAAAATATGTATGGTCTTAGGTTGACTGGTGTAGATCTGGTTTAAGTTGTATGGAATGATCATGAGTTTTTCTAAGAGGCGCGACTTGATGTTCTTTAAAAACATATTCAGACTATATAAGGGTTGGAGTTCCTTAGGAATTACTGGTTTAGATGTCTCCATTGTAACCATGAAAATATGTCCCATTATGTCAGGATCTGAAGTTGTGAGTTTATGCAATGTAGCCCCAGAAATAGGTCGTGATAAGGTAAAGGGTTAGTGGCCTATAATTAGAATATGATCATCATCTTTATTGAAGGTTATTGTCATGTGGTTGAAGTCCGTAGGATTGGACTGAATAGTTTCAGCCAATCTACTCCCAACACCATATCACTCCCACCCAATTACAACACCTTAAAATCATTTGTAAATTTATGCCCCTACATTGACTAAGTGACCTTGTTGCATTTAGCTTAACTGAATAATTGTTGTCCATTTGCCACTGTTATAGTCAGAGGGTGAATAGTCACTACATTCAATACTTCCTTGGTCCATCTGGGAGTTAAGAAACTATTAGTGCTCCCACAATCCAATAAAATATTCAAGGGTTTACCATTCAACAATCCTTGAATTCTCAAGGTATTATGACCCAAACAACCAGTAATTGCATTAATAGAGATTTCTAAGGTGTCATCGCCTTGAATTAATTCTTCCTCCATATTCCTCCCTATGTCACATCAGACTGTAGTGGCTCTCATTATTCCATCATATTCAACTGACAGTTCTTATATTGATGTCCTGGTGTGAACTTGTCACCACATTTAAAGCATATACTATTATGCCTTCTATATTCAAGCAGACTTGGTTTGGTTTGGGTGTTGATGCTAGGTTTGGAAACAGTAGGAATGGTTGCAGGTTTTATGAAAGTAGTTGGGGTTGGGTAGGGTTGTTTTCTGAAATTCATTTTCTGAATATTATTTTCAAATTCTATAGAGAGTTCGTATAGCTTTGCTTGCCTACTAGCCTCAGCTACACTGGTAGGGTTTAAAGTTTTTACCCTATGCTTTAGTTATTTCTTCAGGCCACTAATAAACATCAAGACAGAATTCGTCCCCCAGGGTAGGGTTTAGCATTAACATATACGGCTTCAACTCTTCAAACTTATCCTGGTATTCATCTATAGTTCCTCTTTGTATGAACTTGCTGAGCTCCTCAATGATATCTAGAAATTATTGTTTATTAAATCTCTGAAAAAGGTCTGCTTTGAACTCATGCCAATGCACACGGTGTTTCTGCATTATATATCCATCAAACCAAGTTTTTTCCTGACCTTGCAGATACATCGTGCTACTTCCACTCACTGTTCCTCATGAACTTCATACATTAAAGTACTTGTGACACTTTTGGATCCATCATCTCGGGTTTACCCCATCAAAGAAGGGTAACTTTACTTTAGGCCTATGCAACATAGAAGCTGAACTATTAAAAGATCTCTGTTAGCCTTTTTTATCCTCATTCGACCCACCTAGGGTGTGTTTGAAGCCACTATTCTCATCCATTTTATAGGTTTTACAGATTGAAAATCATCTTATTTGGATTTAAGAATGTCAGGCTCATCCATTTTATAGGATAAATGAGATTTATCATTAATAACTATCACAATAATAGGTTTCTTCCCCATTGCTTTAATATCAATAGGAGTATGTACCTGCTCGCTTTTAGAAACAGATTACGCGTGCTCCTCGTTCCTTTCAATCAGAATCTTCAAAAGTTCTATATATCTTTGATTGGTGTTCATCCTATTCTCCAAGGTTGCAGTACGTTCATTTTGTGTTTCCCACCATTTAGGAGGATTAGTTTCCTCGTTTGCTTGCTTTACTAATGTTTTTAAGTCTTCAATTTTCTTTTGAAGTGAAAACAAATCATAGGGTCCAGCCATTGATTGATTCTTCTTTGGCATATATGAATTCTTTGTGCCAAGAATTAAGGCTCCTAATACCAATTTGTTATGGTTTAGGCTGAGAGAATAGAATAAACGAGAGAAAATAGAGAAAAAAGTTTAGGTTTATAAAAAGAAAATTCCCATTCGTTCAATAGGTGATCGAATAATTCGGTTGTTTATGATATTATTTGTTTATAATTGTACGAAATGGTTTTCCCATCTTGCATTACTATTAACATGCTTAATGGTCTTGTGCAGGTATCCTCCTTTGGTTTGTTCTTGTTCCCTGGCCCGATTCCTTCATATCAGGTAAATCTGGTTCTTATATCACTTTAATCTTCCCTGCGCATCTCACATTACCCTTTTTAATCCTAATTTCCCAATTTGAGACTTGCAATCCCTAACCCTTCATCTGAATTACCATTTTCCTCTTTCTTATGACTTTATTCTTCTCCTCCAACTGTAATAGTGGGGTCTTTTTTGGTCGTTGTAGGGTAAATCTCAGACCATATTTATTGTGGGGTCTTTTTATTTCTCCTACTATTTGGTGAATTGTATAATGTAAATTTAAGTTAGTGTCATTTTTCCCCTTAAAAGTTATATGTTGCTTTTCTCTATTGATAGCAATAGCAATTTGTATACTGGCTCAGACTTGTATTGTCTTTTTCAAATAGTTTTAACAATACTATAGGATCATTTTTGAATAATTCAAAGAAGTTTAGTATTGTGATACAACATGGTGGTTTTATTGTTAGGATACCTAGGACAACTTTTATTGGAAAATTAGTGGATTATTTTGACAACTTAGATGTTGATACAATGTTAATGTTTGAAATCAATGTTATGACTAAAAATTTAAAGTTCCATTTAACCCGCAGGCTAACGGGCTTACCCGTTTACTGTTTATGTGAAAAAAGAGATAAGATGGGGAGATAAAGAGAAACGACGAAGAAGGGAAACAAAAAAAATGAGGCTATGGTTCCTAAAATTTTAATACGGCGTATATATAATATAAGTCACACAAAACAACATATTTTAGGGATTTAAGACAACCATGACAAGTTTTAATGTGCTAATCGTGTAAGGGCTCTACCCACTTTTGAATTAAAGCAATATAATCCTCAAATATAGTTTATTATTTTAATTTTGCACTCTAATTTTATGTATGTTTTTTTATTACTGCCTCAAGTTTTATATATTATTTGCGTATTTGAATATTATGTTACTTTACCTTTTTAATTTAATTATTATATTTATACATGGTTTAATACTTTGATTTGTTTTTTTCCTATTTTTTTAACGTATATGTATATAGATTTTCTTATGATTAATTATTGGAGTATAATAAACGTTGTATGGCTTATTTATATATATATTGATGGTATTAGTTATAAATGGTAAATATGTATATAAAAAGATGGAAACCTTTTTGCTTATGTTATCATATTATGCTACTAGGGCTGTAAATGAGACGAGACAGATCGCAAGCTACTCAAGATCGACTTGATCAAGGCTCGATAAATACTCGAATCGAATGGACTCGACTCGAGCTCGAGCTCGACTCGAGTTCTTAACGAGCCTAAACGAGCTACTCGAAATTCGACTCGAAAAGCTCATGAGCAGCTCGAAAAAATGTTATATTATAATTTTAGATTTTTTAAAATTACATTATTAAAAATACACTATTGATATTTATAAAAATTTAAAAATATATTAAAAATTCTATAATACAACTACCCTCAAATTTTAATTAATATCTTTGCAATGAACCATAAACCATAAACCCTAAATTATACTTACCTCCTAAATCGATACCAAGTTGATTAGTTAATGTCTTTATAATAAACCCTAAATCACAAACCATAAATTATAAACCCTAAAACCTAAATCTGATTATGTGATAGAAGTTAAGTTATGCACATGAAGGTAACATACAAATTATGCAAAATGATGTTATGTGGCTCCTAAATAAATCGATCGTATACTTATACATAAACATATCAACATGCAAAATAAATATACAAAACTAATTAAAGAAAACAAACTTAAACAGGGACTAAATTAAGAAAAATCTAAATGTGATAACTAATTTAAACTAAATATATTAACTTTAGAATGATGATTAAATTCAGATAACTGACTTTCCCAATCATCAGATAACTGAAATTCAAATCAAATTAAGGCAGCAAACAGAGTGAGTATTGAAAATAAAATCAACTCTGAAACAGTATGTTAGACATCAATGCTTGGTAAGCTCCTCACCTCAAACGATGAGCAGGAGCTGTTAACGTGCTTATCTGCAAATGTCCATTGATGCTTTCCAGAAACTGCCACTTGTCCAACAATCCTGCATAACAAGGAATAAGAACTAATTGGACTTTTGCATAAGCTACAGATACATAAATTTGGTACTTATCATAATCACAATAAAATTTAACAGAGGATTGGGTTGGGGGGGGGGTAACAAGACCTTATGTTCAACTGATTGCATCCTTACATATTATTTCTTTAACTACTTTAACTACAGATACTTCTCAGTATCTGGTGTAATCCACTGCTAATTGTACTACTGCCCATCCCTATCTCTCCCCAAAAGCAGAAACCAATTCTTTGATTTTGTTCAAAAGGCCCCCCACCTCAACTAAAAGCAGCGAAATTTTCAATAAAAAACGCTCCCCCAACCTATCTTTTGTTTGCAATAAAGCCCCTAGATTCCTCTGTAAGAGCCTCTTCCAGCCTGTTTTCTCCTTAACCCTGCTCGTGGTTTAATTGGCAGTCCAACTGTTGGCAGTAACAAACTATCTCTTCCCATTCCAAGACGCCTAATGACAGAAAAAGGAGAAAAAAAAAAGAAATGACTTTTAAGAAGTTTTCGTCTCAGATGCCAATTACAAGATCAAACTCATGAGATCAAATATGAAGCTCTCGTCGCAATTAACTCCGTTGAAGTCATTTCCGCATCCGTCCATCTTTAGAACGAAAATATTTTTGATTCGTTGAAGAGAAAGTGAGAAAACTACAGATAGCAGAGAAGCATATCTAGCTTATATCCGACGACATGGATAATTGAACTAGCTGAAGATCGAACTTTTCCAGAGGAAAATTACTTTTTTTTCAGTTGAAAAGGAGATTAAACAGAGAATTAAACTACTAGATGAAAGAAATGAAGGAAATTAGAGGATCTCAGCTTAATGGAGTGGTGGGAAGAAGCTGATTTACAGTTGAAGTTTTTTCCCCTTTTGGTTGGAGTAGTTCATATCCCACATCGGTTGGGGAAGGGATAAAGAGAGTGTATAAAAGGGATAGGTTTCGGCAATTGAAAATTAATTCGTTTTCGAGCTTTAAAAGAGTTCAAAGTCGAGCTTGAATCGAGCTCTAAATTGAGCTCGAGTCTCGAGTTTTTAATTTTTTTTTAGTTCGAGTCTTTTCGAGTTCGAGTCGAGTTTTAATTTTATCTTTCGAGATTGAGTCGAGTTTGAAAATTTTAGGTTCATGAGTTTTTGAGTCGAGTCGAGCTTACATTTAAAGTTTTCGAGTTCGAGTCGAGCTCGGTAATACTCGAGCTCGACTCGGCTCATTTACACCCCTATACGTTACCATAGGTATAATTAATACGTTCGAACTTTAAAATTGGATATCATCAAATTAAAACGTGAATTGGACTTCAGATTTTAGTGCACATACGTGAATTGGGTTATGGCTAAAATGCACATAAAATGTGAATTGGGCTAAACGTGAATTATCTTCCGTAAAACATAAAATAAATTAAAAAAATTAAATTAAACAGCTCATTAAACCCATAAATTTAACGATCCGGATTAATAAACTCGTAATTTAAACGAATTTTATTTTTTAAAATCCGAAACCCGCACGAACTGCGGTTTATACGGGTTGCCCGTTGGCCTTAAGTTTGCATTTTCTTCTCAAAAGTTGGACAACTTTTTCGATTGAATCAAAATACTATTACAAAAGGAATCATGATGTCGTTGACTTGGGAGACAAAAGGAATCAAAATACTATTGACTTCATAGACAAAATTTATTAGTTTTAGGGTTTTAGTTCGAAAGAGGAGGAACATCCTTTAGCTGAACCATATTGTAAACCTCGGATATTACCGAAAATAGTGTTTAGTAGCACCAATTTAGGATCACTTTTGGAGTAATGCTTGCTTGCATCTCTAAATATTATATCATTGCTAAAAATTACAAACTATTTTAGAGTTTAGGCATAGTATAGTGTGTACTTGGTTAGTTAATATACATTATTCCACATGTGAAATTAAGTAGAAATATTTTTCCCTTTGTATTTTCAGCTCTTGAAGCTGGCAATTGCTTGATAAGTGTCTTTAACACACACTTGTGAGGCATTTGTTATATATATTTGATATGCTAATTTGAAATTTGAAAATAATCAATTAAACGATTCATTTGAAAACTATGTCTGTCCATATTTTTTGTTTTATTTTCCACCATAATCGTTGAAAATTCGATGTTGGAAATATGCAAAACCAACAGGTAAAATATAAGAACAATTTTGTTATATTTAATGTTTTTGGTTGATTTTCCCTTTTTAAAGTACATGGTCTACCCATATTGAATTACTTGAATTTCGGAGTCTGAAGTTGGTAGAAGTTACTCCGAAAGGTCAAATGCTATATGTTTCTATTATATCAAATGGTACTTTGACATGCTTTGAGATGTTATGCTACTGAAGTATATAAACTTTTTTATAGCATGTTTTACTATTTCAGGTGGGAAAATGGATGTCCAAAACCTTGAAGTTGTTGAAAGTCCCGAGAATTTGTTACCAGAGAAATTTGAATTCCACAAGACTGTAGCGGATAAATTGTTTGGATCGGGGTTCGAGAACCTTATGATCCTCACAAAACCTGTAAAATATTTTTAAAGGCTTAACAACAACAGCGGTGGGGCGTATGATGAAGACGAAAGATGCTTTAGATTTGGACAGGATAATTCTTTAAAACTATTTATGGGATTGGGCGATGTTCTCAGAATTACCGATCTACCCATAGACGATAAACCTATTGTAGAAAACGAAAAAGGCCTGGATGTCAAGAAGTTGTGTATGGAAAATTGCTTTGGAAAAAATAAGAATGAAATTACAATGACGTGGCTCCGTGAAAATTTTGAGAGCTTGAATGAAGATAAACTCAAAGGTGACAAATAGAACCAATATCTTCGACCAGTGGTGCTCTATATATTAGGGTCAATTGTAGTCCCCTCTTCTTCAAAGACAGTTTCACCATTTTATCTATCTTTTTTGAAAGAAATTGATCAAATTAAAAGTTATATTAGCACATTATACGTTTAGTAGTTTTTCTCTTTATTCCATGTGGATTAACATTTTGCTGTTCTTTTTTTTAGGCGTTTATATCAGAGGTTATACCGAAGGTTGCAACTTGGTTGCTAAAACACATGGGAGAAGTATCTACAGATGAAATAGACCGAGATATGCAAAATCGTCCAGATAACTTCATTTTGATGGTTGGTTGGCATGATAAGCTGTATAATGCATCCATGGATAAAAGAAACCGACGGCCTTGTTCTCTATTTCGTAAATATTTTAGAAGGTTAACGGAAAATGCTGTAAGTGATATCAATTTTCCCTTGTTAATGATTTAATTTTAATCTTTTCAAATGCCTTTAATTTTTCAGTCTTTCCTAATAATGTTTAAAACAGGTTGAATGGACACCATATGCTAGGCTACCCATAGAATTCTTGTCTCTCATATATCGTGATCCCCCCTAGAATGTGCTTTCACATCTATTATATTTATGGAGAAGGCAGTCTTCCATGATCCTGCTGTCTCGATACAAAAGCAACTGCATGCATCTCATAATATTCGAGTCTTTAAGAAGGCTTCCATTTCTCTCCACAAAATATATAATGATCGTCAAAGTAAAAGATCTAGGAAAAGACGTAAGCAAAATTGGAACGATGTTTGCAAGCAATTCAAATCATACTGGGAGAATCGTTGGATATCTTTGTATCTTAAAGGTAATCTTGTGTCCCCTATGGCTTCCTTTTTTCTTGTTTATTTCTTCCTTTATATTCTTTTTTTTATTTTTTTGGAAAGTTCATATATAGAAAAGATGAGTAGTAAGGTCAGGGACAGTTGCAACATCTGGGGCAGGATGAGTCGAATGCACCTGCAGCACATGATATCCACATGGAGCCGAACGATCTAGGGGATGATGAGCTCATAGGGGAGGAGGGTCTAGGGCTGGATGAGCCCATTTCACCTCTGGAACATAATGTCCCCAAGGAGCGGGAGGATCCAGGTGATGATGAGCTCATGGGAGAGGAGGGTCTGAGGCAGGATAAGCCCATTTCACCTCTGAGACTTGATGTTACCATTGAGCAAGAGGGTTCGGGGGATGATGAGCTCATGGGGGAGGAGGTTCTGAGGCAGGATGAACCCATTTCACCTCTAGAACATAATGTCCCCAAGGAGCATGAGGATCCGGGTGATGATGTGCTCATGGAAGAGGAGGGTTTGGGCTAGGATTAGCCCAGTTCACCTCTGGAACATAATGTCCCCATGGAGCCGGAGGATACAAGGGATGACATGCTAATAGGGGAGGAGGGTCTGGAGGAACAGATGAATCATTATGCACCTCCGGGTCATGATGTCCCCATGGAGAGTCATCGAGGCTGCATATCTAAGAAGCATACTGGTAATGTCTCTCAAGAAAATATCCTTCCCAATAACCAAAAAAGAAAAAGATGACCTCCATGTTGATTAATGAAATTTATTGTGTTAAATCCATAGAAGAAGAAGAATTGGGTCACTATTTGATTCTTCTGTGTGGTTGTAAAGGTAGAATATTTTTTTGCTGTTGCTTATAAAGGTTGAATTTCTTGTTCTGCCTATGGTTATTAGTAAGTTGTTTTCTAATTATTGGTGATTTAGTGACAGTATTTGAAGATGTTGACATTTTCTGTGCTAGTCGTGAAGCTAAGGAATATCTTCATTGGGTGACTGTTGCAGCTGGTGGAATCATACAAACACCTATTAACAGCATAATTGATGAGCCCCTGTTTTATTCTTTTTCTTTGGATGATAACATGGTCTAGGCTGCGCTTTTTGTTTTCTTATAAATTTCAAACATTTAACATCAACTTTGAGTAACTTCTAATGTTATGACACATATTCACACCAGTGAGAGCAGCACATGGTATAGGATGTGCTTTTATCAACTTTAAGTAACTTTCAATTTGATTCTATTCTGTGTGCTGGCATTGCTAGAGATGCTTCTTTCTAGTTGAGAAGAGTCTTTGGCGTATAGTTATAAGTGTCTTCTCTGCACTTCATTTAATTTCATTGTTATGATCTCATATTTTGGCACTGGTCACAAACGAGGAATAAAATGCAAACTAGGTTTTTGATTGGAATAAAGGCGAGGCCAATTCGTCGAGTGTTTTTCTCGTGAGTTGGTTAAGAATTCTGACGTGAAACTGGTAAATATATAATATAACCCGATTTGAAACGACTTGAGATCCGATTTTACTCGACTTGTTATTAATCTGACATGTAATTGACATGATTTTTGTTAACTCGACTTGTTATTAGCCCAACCTACTTGAACTAATATTTACTTAAGTTCATATTTGACTTGAACTAATATTGACCTTAGGTCGATATTTTAGGAAAATTTTCTGGAAATAGAATTTGAAATTTTAAAAATTCATACTTATTCTTCGAGGTTTGATACTTTGATTTAAAAAAATGCTGAAAAAAATCATAATTTATTCAAGCCGCAACCTAAAATATGATTAAACAACGTAACTTAAAATATGAACCTGAAATCGAAATTTTTATAGCGCACTCACTAACAAATCCATTCACAACCTCTTTTTCAAAGAAAATTTATCCTAATAAGGGCTCAACTTAAAATCTGAGCAAACGGCGCAACCTAAAATATGGCACTGCAAAACGAAATTTTATAACTTTTGAAAACAAATCAAGTTGCAACCTTCTTTTCGTAACATATTTCAAGTTAAAATTTTCAAGTTTAACAGTGGTAATTAAAAAAATGTTTCAGGTGAGCAATAAATGCCCGAGTTCATAACACCCAACGGCTCCAAACATCCTCCAACGACTACAAATTGAGAAGTATATATTGCTCACGTCTCCTTACAGATGATTAGTAATTATTAGCATTTACTTATCATGCATTCTCTACCATCTCTCTAGATTTCTTATACACAAACACTAATAACCTAGAAAACTTCAAAAATTTCGATCAAATCAAAATATCAGCCTCTGTTCTTCTATATTCATCTGAAAACATCATATTCGATAAAAACACAAAAAAATCATTCTTTTTGTATTTTTTTTATCAAAATCCAAAACCTTAAGGAGATAATTGGATCATGAAATTCAAGATTCCTGATGAGAATTTTTTTTCCAGATTCAAATTCCCATATTTGGATGGGAAATATTTCCAATAGGGAGTAATGATATATTCCCAACAGTAAAAAATTTTCTCTTTTTACCGGAATGTTAATCTCTTACTTTTATTAGGTATTCTTTTATTCCCATGTGCTCGACTAAAATACCCTTCATTTTCTCCCAAGCATTGTTTTTGCCTTCGCGCTCTCTTTGTTATTTTCTTCCCTCTCTTCATTTTCATCTTTTCGGTTCTTCTTGAGATGCTCTATAAACCTCTTTCATGGAAAACCCATTTCCTTGAGATTAATTTGGTTTGGACAATACAGTCAATAGCGAAGGAAATAAGAATCACAAATACTGATGGACAATCTGGAAGAGTCCAAACCGGATCTCTACCCACAACATCAACAAGAACAAGAGATGGCAGCCTCGTCGACGGCGATTGACGGAATAGCAGCGTCGGCTCTCCGGTCAGTTCTCCAGAGAGTCCAACAGGTCACCGAGCGATGTGGTCATGAATCGCAGCGGATCCGCGTCGTTGCCGTCAGTAAAACGAAACCCGTCTCCCTCATTCGCCAAGTTTACGACGCCAGTCATCGATGTTTCGGCGAAAACTACGTCCAAGAACTTGTCGAGAAAGCCCCTCAGGTTCTTCCTCCACTTCATTCAAAAGAAAAAGCATCGAACTAGTCAAAAAAATCATTTCTATTTTGAAAATGATAAAGTACCGAAGTAATAATCATTTTCGTGCTTGCAATCGCAGCTTCCGGATGACATAGAGTGGCATTTTATTGGGAATTTGCAGAGCAATAAATTGAAGCCTTTGATTGGTAAGCAAAGCTACGTGTTTTTAGGAACTTTTGATTAAAATGTCTGTGTTTACTTCATTTTGGGTCAGATTACAAATCATCTTAATCGTGCGGTTGGAAACTTTGAAAGAAAGCCTTTGAAAGTCTTAGTCCAGGTGAACACCAGTGGAGAGGAATGTAAGTAAATTTATTTTTATTACAATGAAAATATATTGCTTTTCGTTGAGTTGTGTCAAGGCTTTGCACGTTCAAGCGTGTTGCCATGTATTTGTCTTTAAGTTTGCTAGATAGAACTGGTCTTGTTTCTTTAGCTTCTAGTTCCGTACTATGCTCTATCAACATGGCTATTGGAACCTAGTTCATTGGGGCTAAGTACCTAGTTAGATTAGGTCAAGTATATTTGCTGACAAAGAAGCTGCTTTTATCAACACTTGGAGATCGTTTTAATAGTATTTTCCTGCATCATGTTATTGCAGCAAAATATGGTGTTGAGCCTTCAGGTTGTGTGAAACTTGCAAAACATGTTAGTCTAAATTGCCCGAATCTTTAATTTTGTGGATTGATGACAATCGGGATGCCTGATTATACAACAACTCCGGAGAATTTCAAGGTGGTTGAACTTCTTATCTCGGTTTTTCCGTCCTTTTCAATTGATTCTTTATTTTTCTAACAATATTTATTTGATACCTAGACATTAACAAATTGTCGAAGTGAAGTCTGCAAGGCTCTTGGATTACCAGAAGAACAATGTGAACTGTCAATGGGAATGTCTGGCGACTTTGAGCTAGCTGTAAGGATTGTTTTCCCATTACCATCTAGATAAGGAAAACTTTAGATTTGTATGCAATTGGCTTTGTCTATGCTTTAGTACTAAAACATTGTTGTACAATGTCTGTGCTCCTGCCACATACCGTGCACAAAACCATGCTATGTTACTCAAATTTGGTTGTGTTAGATATGAGTATACTTAATTTTTTTCGAATTTTCTCATATATTTTGAGAACTCTTGTAGGTTTGTACCTTTATATTCATGTACCTATTGTGTCATATTCCCTAACCAAACCCCATAAAAGTAGCATTCAATTCTTTTAAAGCTTATGAGAGAACGACTGTCTAATGGATTGTCTCATTGTTTCCGCTTATTGAAATGGGCAGTACCAATGTCAGAGTTGGATCAACCATCTTTGGGGCAAGGGAATATCCAAAGAGGAAATGAAACGCTGCATTGTTATTAAACATAATCATCGGGTTGTTATTTTGTTACACTGGGTTGATGTGGTTTGATCCGAGAGAAAAAATACACTGACTGATAGTAGAATCCATTGAACTTGTTTATTCCTTCTAAATAATGCTAATAAAATTGTAATTGTTTGATCTGAAATTCGATTCTTATTGTTCGGTTGGAAAATTAACCTCAAGTACACGAGTTTGAGTCTTTCGTTAAATCAGTTTCTCCTCACAAGGATCCCACAATGAAGTCCTCGCCACCTGCATATCCACGCTCAAATCCAACACACCTAGATTCCCACACATTCCCCGGCCTCCTCAAAGCTTGCACTTCTCTGTTTCGCACATCCAAACGAGGTCTCGAGGTCTTTAATTCAATCAATCTAACCAATTCAATTGAGAGTCGACTGATCTAGTGGTTATAAAATTAGAAATCCGAAAAACTGTACTTAAAAACCAAAAATTGAAATAAAAAAGACGGATGAACAAGTTATTTTATGGCTGAGTTAAGTACAAATCATATTAGGATTGAGTATTATTGGGTTGCTTGCTTTTCGTAATCAAGAGTTAAGTACAAATCAGATTTGGACTGAGTATTAATAATTTTATTAAAATATTAGCAAAGAAAATGATGAATGACGGTGAAATATAAAATTATAGACAATATGATTTTTAGTGTTATATTTTCTTACTTATTTGAATTATGTTTTTGTAATATAAATTAATGAGATAAATAATAATGATAAAGTATGCAAAATTAAGTATAAATATAAAAGATAAATAAATAAATTATTGTATAAATTATTGTTATAATATATATTATATCTTAGATAACAAAAATAATTTACATCTTTTTATTATTATGAATATCTATGAAGAATTTCCACAATATAAACATTTAGTTAAATGTTGATGTAAAATTTTAATATATTTTTACATAAATTATATAAAATTTAATATTAATTAAAATTAAAATCATACATGATATATTTAAAAACTCAAGTAATATATTATCAACAAATAGAATTTTTATATAAATAATTTTTATTTAAATATTTAGAATTTCACTTGTTAAAAAAACAAATATAGAACAAGGATAATTTGGTAAAATATACATTCCAGTAATCTTTTATTCTTTCAACCAAACACTGTAATCTTACATTCCTGCCAAACCAACCAAACACAGTAATGTAACATTCCCAGTAATCCTATTCCCTTGTAATCTTTTATTCCCACTGGTAATCTTACATTCCGTGAACCAAACGCACCTTAAACCTTTTCTTCCCCGTTATTCATCAATTTTTTTCTCGATTCAAATAAACACCAAAATCTCCCCCTCTTGTTTTTACGATCGAAACACCAAAATTATAGCCTAGGATTGAGAGTATTTTAACTTGTTTGATAGACATCTTTAATCTTTGATTATGAATCAGTCAAAGAGATTAAAAATATGGTTTGTTAGCTTAACCGAATGTTTAAGCTATAATGTTACTCTAATTAGAATTGTTGAGACAACATGTAGGAACTCCATAGACATTGATATAATAAAGTAATTTGGAATTTCAGAGTTAGCATAACATGGTAGGAAACTACAAACAGACATCAGTATCAGCTCTGAAGGGAACATGTATCT